CTTTAAATTAATTGAGATGCAAGACAAAGTCTACCTTGCCTTTGAGGCGATAGAGAGCGTCATTATCGTGTCATAGCTATTGTAGTGTAGAGCGTTGGGTCAAGTTAGGTGGGGTGGCCGGATGACTGATTTGGCCGGATGACTGATCCTTGACGTTACTCTGTCCTAAGATATAGGAGAAAGCTACTGCAAGTATCAAAGGTCCCAATATGACTTGGAGCCTGTAAGTAAAAACCCTGCGTAACTTTGTAAAACATTTTGTAGAGCGCGCCATTATGTAGAGCGAGAGATAGGAACATAGCTAGGATCAAGGTACTTGTTAGACTATCGGGTTGTTGTGGGCACAAAGAGAAGGCGACAATGGTAAAGGTTGTTAAACAGTCTGTATTCACTATGAATAAACAGCTGCAGAGATAACGTAGTGTTCGTTGGGCTTACATCTACTTCGCTAAATAAGATGTGACCAAGCAGGCCTGGTTTGGACCAATAGACCCCAAAGGCAGCTATAGGAGTTCAGAACAGGCTAGACGCTGACAGCGCTCTCTTTAGACCAATAAAAAAGTAGCGTTCTTAGTATTGAGATGGCTACTTGTACTAGCATAGAAGTACTAAGGCAGTTCGCCGACAATTAGGTCCAGGTCAATGTCGTTCACTATCCGTTCATTATTCCTGTTATTATTACCGTCGTTAATCCCGCCCTTTCTTTGTCTCGTTCCTTTGATGCTAGTAGGGAGAATAGATCATCTCAAAATATGCGTCCATAGGGTCATCACTAGCATGGAAGGAGCACGCAGAGCCAACATTCTCGTATCGAAATGGACTGGTATACTAGTTGTCAATAGTTGATGCAAAGCTGCCAGTCATACCCACGCTGTCAATGTGATGTCATATAAGTGTGGCACCCTCAAGAAGGCGTAGCTCCATACCAAACGTATAATCTTACATTGAATTGGTGCAACTCAGGCGGCCTGCTTAATCTAATTCTACAAGGCGTTGCCAATTTTGGCTCGCCAATGTGCACTAGGGATGGTATAACATTAATTCTGGAGTAAGCATTGCAAATCTTTTCGTAGAGGAGACTATTGGATGCCTCAGCTGCTGTAACAAAGTCTATAGCCATTCTCAATACAGCAGACAATAGCCATGGCAGCTACCAGGGTGACAATGGCTGCTTTTTCTATCGTTTGTCACCCTTTGCTTTCCCGAAAAGAGACCGAACGTGCCAGAGTGTGGGGTCCTCAATTATTTCCTTGCATAGCATGGTGGTGCGCTGTTCGGCTTCCTTTTGGGGGAAATGAGCTCTGCAGTGAACCTCAACCAAGCACACTTTGGAGTACACAATTTTCGAATGTGCAGGTTGCATAATATTTGCTTCCACCAGCAGCACGGCGGGGAAACTATGACAAATTCTCGTAGCGTTTGTGAGGGGGACGCGAAAATTCAAAGTTTGAAGATTGCTCGATGACTGGGCCGACATCGTGGTCTAGAATGATTATGTGATTATGTCGAACAAGGATCCGGCATGTGGCCAATGGCATACTTTGAGGTTGTCAATGAAATATATGTACTAAGTATAGATGCTTGCCAGATCTTTTGATCAGAAACGGTCTTGGATGCGTGTTTGTGTCAGTCAGCATCAAGATGAGAGGTCGTAGTAGAAAAGCTAAGCTGGAAAGTTCGATCATCTGTGTCGCGTGCTTGCAATTCATCCCATCCAGATGGATGACAGTATACTTACTGCTGTTGCGGAAAATTTATATGATCCAGATGCATGCTGGCAATGTCAGAGATAAGGCGATGAAGATTGTTTACAATTGGGTTTGGTTGGGCTTGAAGGCTCGTTTGTTGGGCTTACTGTTGTCCTGGTCCGACCGCGGCACAGTTGCCATCCCGAGTTGTCGCCGCCACCAAGCCTCTCACGGGAAGAGGCGCACCCTTCAGCTGCGTGCCAACATTCGCCAGCCAATGATGCCTCGTCGACCAATCTCTCCTATAGTCTTATTCAAAAGGGACACGACTGCTGCAGATGAGGCTGGAGCGGACAATGGCTTCAGTGCCAACAAGGATGCCGGGTAGATAGCCGAGATGGTGTGGCCGCCATGGCGGGATTGCGGGAGTTTGGTTCGTCCAGACTGGAAGCGCGGCAGATCGACGGTATGGAGACCTTGTCAAAATTCAGGTAGCGGCGCAATTCGGAGGGGACAGGGCAGATACATAGAGGGCCAGTCTCTCCTGACTCTGGGTTTTAGCTCGATACAACGGGTTCCGCCGCTTCTTCTTCGGTGCAGCAACTGGAGACGAGTGGATCACGGTGGAGAAGAACAGTCCGGAAACAAGAGTGACATCACCAACACCACCATTCCTATCCCACCTACTTACGTATTCTTCCGCCCTGCATGTCCCCTGCGAGCTGGCACTTGGCAGCATGAACCGAACCGCCCAGCATCTCGCAATCAGCCGACCGCCTCCCGCCGATAGCTTCCCATCCATTGCCAGCATCCAGAGGCCGGAATCACGTGCGTCGACCGAGTCGGTGTCGAGTGCAGAGGAAAGGCTACAATGGCGCAGTCACCCCAATGTCGCAACCCCATTTCCCGACTCACCGGAACACAATCCCTTTGATGACCCCAATCTAAACTCGTCATTGCCGCCGAGACACCAGGCCGACGGTGCGCACGAGCAGACACAGAAGGAACAAGTCGAGGATGCGTGCCACGACGATTCAAAGACTGACACAAACGCATCCGACAAGACCGAAGAGCCCAGGCCTTTGGCTCCCATCATCAGCAATGTCAGCACCAAGCGTAGCGCCCGAGGCACCCTCAAGAGTGATGTACCCGAGAAGAGGAAGCAGCTGAGCTTCAAGGAGCGAATACGGCATTTTACCTGGACCTGGTTTTGTCTTACAATGGCTACTGGAGGCATTGCCAACGTCCTGTACAGTGTCCCGTTCCGCTTTCGAGGCCTCTACGCCATTGGCTGCATCTTCTTCATCCTCAACATTGTCTTCTTCCTATTCAACTGCATCATGATCTCTTTCCGTTTCTACTTTTACCCTCGCACATTCAAGGCCTCATTTCTGCATCCCACCGAAAGTCTCTTTATTCCTGCCGCCGTAGTCAGCTTCGGCATCATCCTAATCAACGTCAGCCAGTACGGTGTCGGCCATTCAGGCTTGGGCAATTGGCTGGAGAAGATCATGATTGTTTTGTTCTGGATGGACTGCGGTCTTGCTGTCTGCTTCTCCGTAGGCATCTACTTGCTCATGTAGGTCGTTCCTACCAGTCGCCTCGCTCATGTACATACTAACCAACGTAGGTGGTCTACAACAACATTCACAATCTCCCAAATGACACCCATCTGGATTTTCCCCGCCTACCCACTGTTAATTATCGGTCCCCATGCTGGCAACCTAGCCCCCAAGGTCGACAACCCAACCACAGCCCTCACCATCATCCTGACCGGGTATGTTATCCAAGGAATTGGATTCCTTGTCTCGCTCATGATCTATGCTGCTTTCATCTACCGCCTCATGACACAGAAGCTCCCTAAGGAGTCGCTTCGCCCCGGTATGTTCATCAGCGTTGGTCCCTCGGGTTTCACCATAGCAGGAGTTGTCACAATGGGCCAAGAACTTCCGAGGGTTGTCGCGAGTGACTTCATGGGAGAGGGAAACGGCGAAATCGCAGGCAAGGTCGGCATGATCTGCGCAAACTTTCTCGGACTATGGCTCTGGGGCCTTGCACTCTGGTTCTTCCTGATAAGTGTTGGCGCTCATTGGTCTTGTGCTAGGCGAGGAAAGATGGACTTCGGAATGACGTGGTACTCGTTCATCTTCCCCAACACTGCACTGACGACATCCACCTTCGCCATCTCCCGATGCCTCAACGGCAACAAGCCCATTGCATACATTGGCTGCGCCATGACTGTTGGCCTCATAGCCATGTGGTTTTTTGTCATTTTCATGAACGTTCGGGCCGTCTTCATCCACCAAATACTCTGGCCAGAGAAGCAGGAGGATAGGACCGAAGGAGGCTGGAAACAGCAGACTGCTGAAGAGCAGCAAAGGAGACAGCGCGAAAGAGAACTTGCTGATGGAGGAGAAAGCATTAGAGAACGCGCATGGAACAGAGCCAAAACTTTTCAGAGGAGAGATCGGGCTCCTACCTTTGATGGCCAGGGAGCACCCATGCCATCATTGGCCAGGGCCCAGACTGAGACAATGGCTAGGAAGAGGAGATGGAGTTTCAGAAGGTGAATGCAGAACATGAGGTGTAGTCATGGTTTGGAATATGGAGTTGCATTGGAGAGCTCAAGGTTGTTTGTCGCTTTTGTGTCGAATTAGTTGATACCCCTATAAGCGTTTCGCATTAGATTGTACCACTTTTGCATTTACGGTTAGAAAAAATTGCAGTCTCTTTATGGGTCACAAGAATTTAACTTTGAGTCACTAACATGTCGTTTCCAAAGATTTTCTTGCAGGGAGAGTTTGCACGTTGATTGTTCAAGACCCACGGCTGTTGCCGTAACGTAGTGGGGACCGTTGCTCCACGACATCCCCACCTCGGCTTCTCCGCAATCACTACTTGACACCAATATCAAACTCAGATATACCACAACAGCTTGAATAGAAGGTTAAGGCTTTGCACATCAATTCAATAGAATTCGTCAGGCGAATTCGGTGAGTATTGAACTCTAAAGTACCCTCGCATATATTTTGACTCACGTTGAAGCAACCTGAACTTTTTCCTTTTAACCACCCACGCACACCATTTCCCAAGTTTATCCTTTTTGACACCCTCATCGTTTTATGTAAAACCCTCGGTATTCTCATTTCGTGCCAAGTAACACTAACTGAGCACTCGTCAGGCTAATTACCAACCCTCGAACCTCTCTTTCACTTCAAGACTCATACTCTAGCCTGAAATGGCGACCGGTGATAACAGCCAGACCGGACCTTCTCAAGTCAACGCACCCAAAAGTGGCGGAACCCCAGCAAATACAGTCTCAATTGGTGCCATGGGCGATCAAGCAAGTACCGGCCCTGGCGACATCGTCTACACGCCCCCCGAATCCGTCACTGGCATAGCTTCCTCGGTCGGAAGTGACAACACCTCAGCAACGACCCTACCAAATGCAAACGCATCAACACACCAGGGCATCTCCGGCGCAGGTTCAAACATTAGCAAGCGCGAATACATCTACTTTCTCCCATATCCCCTCCCACCCGGCACCGAAGTCCCCTACTCCATCCACCTCCCCGAGAAAAACCCACTGAACCTCCCCTCTCACCAATTCGAGCCTACAAACACCCTCGTTCTAACCAGTCCCCTCCGCACCTTCGTCGATATCCGCGTCTACAAAGCCTTCACCACATCCACCGCACCTACCCCCAACAGCATCAACCAAGGCTCCCAGCAACGCCTCGAATGGGCCTTCGCCGGTACTTCGACATCCGTGCCTATCCAGCCCTCCAGCGCCTCCGACAGCGGAACCCAAAAACTACAAGAAGACGAAGAGTGGGAAAACGTAACACATTCTACATGGAAGCACTGGCTCGATTCGCGCTACAGCGTCGGTGATGCCAATATCCCCGTGGACGAAGGAGATATGTATCCACTTTCTGAAGAGTTGACGCTCGAAGTGGGACATGCGTATCATCCAGCGCTTGAAGCGGTAAAGACGCATGAGGAGATGTGGCGAGATGAAGAGATCAAATCGACATGTCTCTCTGCGGCTGGTAAGGAGGGAAAGAAACTTTGTGTTGTGCTAAGGTGCCGCGATGATGCTGCGGGGGCGAGAGGCGTGATTGTGCGTGTGGGACAGTATGTACAGGGTATATTGATGCAGGGGGATAAGACGACGGTGGAGCGCTGGGAGTGGGCGGTGGAGAATGAGGGGGTGGATGAGATGGGGAAGTGGCAGCGGACGGTGAGGATTGGTGCTGCGTTTCTGCCCTGTGCCGTGTGTTTCCGAGATGCGGTTTTAGCGGTGGGAGGGAAAGTGCGGTATGGAGAGTTTGAATGGGTGGTTGAGGAAGTTTGGGGGTGGGTGTGAAAGAGAAAAAAAAAGATGATTGAGATCGATTGAGCAACAGTTCGGAAAGATAACTACATGCTTTCAGCAATCGTATCCCCACCCTCCACCCTGCACACTCCTTCCTACCGCAAAACTCAAGTCCATCCCCCGTCCCCCCTGCACCGCCCTCGCAACCCTTACCCCCTCACTCAACACACTCAACGCCCCATCCACACCCGCATGCCCCGTCAGCGACCCGGGCATACTCGGATCCTCATCGCGCGCCATAACACGCCTCATCATATCCTCAGTAGCCTCGCCCTGAAACCGCTCAAGCGCCAAGCGACGAATCCCCACCTTCCACATGTCAAACCACTGCTCCTCACTAACCGTCGTATACCTCTTCTCGCCGCGCTCATCCGTTGTCGAAAACGGCCATTCGGCACGCACAACGGCGTAGCGCCTAGTCGCAAAGAACAAGACGGGCCAGGAGAAAATCCAGAGAAAAGAGAGGTAGAAGAGCCAGCAGACCCATGTTTTGAGGCGGAGAGTGTTGATGCGGTTGGAGGTGTAGATGTCGATGTTTGCTTCTTCGATGGGGAAGGTGATGCTGATGTTTCCGCGGTAGTTTGTTGAGTGGAGGAGCCCTGTGATGCGGTTTCTGAGCTGGGTTTCTTCGAGGCCGGTGATTTGGCGGCGGAGGCGGAAGATTCGCAACATCCGGGGCGAGGCGCAGTAGCGGTGGCACCATTCTGTGAGTGAGGGTGGGGGAGAGCTGCCGATTTCTATGTCGTGGTTTACGCCGGGGGCGCGGTGGGCGAGGATGGTGCCGCGGTGGGTTTTTTCGCCATTGGAGACGGTTACGAGGGACATTGGGGAGGTGTCGGAGGGGTTGAAGTTTGGGTGGAGGTAGTATTGGAGGTTGATTACGATGCGGAAGTCGGTTACGTGGTGGGTTTCTTTCTTGTTGTCGTTTTTGCGCACGGTTTCTTTGTGCGTGCCCATTATGTAGATGAGGGGGACCGGGGCCGAGTTGGCATAGGCACGGATAGCTTCTTCGAGTTGGGCTGGGTCGGTGTCGTAGGCGGGCTCCATGACATCGACGGTCTCGACTACGCAGGGCTTGCCGTACTTGAAGCTGGGGCGGTCGTGGTTTGTTCGCGTCGAGGGTGGTGCCACATGGCGGATGGGGATCGCTGAGGCGGGAACATGATTGCTGGCTTCGCTGTCGCTGTAAGAGGGAGGGAGGCCAGAGGGTTCTGGTAGGTCGGTGTATGCGTAGTCGTCTGGTGTGGTGTGGAGCGACACAGCTTCAGGGTCGTCGCGATAGCTGGGCGGAGGAGGGACAGGCTTGCCCATTTTGATATATAGGGGTGGACAGCACGATGGGAAGAAAGTTATTAAGAGAGAAGAGATAGTGAAATAAGAAAGGCAATCATCAGCCCTAATGATATCTGGAGGATGGCAGGCGACCGGTGAAACGCCACAAGAGTCCCAGCGCCCATGATCAGGCAACCATTGGTTTATTGGCCTGCGAAGGATTCTGAGACGCGCCAAGCATCTGCAGCTGCAGCCATAATTTCAAATATCACGAGGTTGTGTCCATATTGGTAAATGTCCATAGAGGAAAGTCACGTTCACGTGCGATTCGTCGTATGTATCTTGAGACGAGGTGTGGTGCAAGCATATCGCGGGGAAGGGTCAGGCACGGAGACGCTAGTGAAGCTTAACTCCGGAGCCAAAAATTTGGAGCTCGACGCGACAGCGGCTCGACCAAGGACACTGCATATTCACTGAACAGTCATATCCCGTGTCTGACTGGACTACAACCTCAAATCTGGCCTCCGTCACACCCTGTATCCGCCGTATATGTGGATTGCGAGCGCGCCCAGTCATCACCCACAAAGCATGGGCTACCGGTAGCTCTCTTCTTCGCGCATTCCACCCAACTTTCGCAATGGCCTCCAACGACGTTCCTATGGCCGACGCGGCGGCGCAAACCATTGACGCAGTTCCCCAAGCCGGTCAGCATATATCTCATGAAGGAAAAGAGTACACCACCATCAAGGAGGGCCTGGCGCATATTCTCGTCCCACATGGCGTTCCGACCTCGACCGACCCTAAACTGTCCAAGGAAGAGACCCAGAAGCAGCAGGTCTTTTACAACCCTATTCAGCAATTCAATCGCGATCTGAGCGTTTTGGCCATCAAGACATTTGGCGAGGATTCTATACGGCGGAAATTGAACAAGCATGAGCAGTTCAGGAAGAAGAACGAGCGCAAGAGACAGCGCGCGCAAGCAAGTCGGGCAGCAGGAGATGTAGCGGAACCAGTCGACGAAGCGCCCGAAACGTCTGGCGCCGAGGATGAGGCGACCAGAAAGAGGAAACTTGCGGAGCTTGAACTGGAGAATACTGCGGGTCCTTCAAAGAAGCAGAAAACCGCTCCAGACGGGAGCGAGGAAGAAGTGGAGAGCGGAGAAAAAACATCCTGGAAACCACCCTTTAGTATTCTCGACGCACTATCTGCTACCGGTCTGCGTGCTCTCCGATACGCTAAAGAGATTCCCTTCGCAACCGCTGTCACTGCTAACGACATGTCTCCCAAGGCGGTAGAATCGATCAAGCTCAACGTCAAGCATAACAAGCTGGAGGACACCGTTACGGCCAATACAGGCAACGCTATAGCCTACATGTACAGCTTCTGCGACAAAAAGGGCTACGATGTCATCGACCTTGATCCATACGGCACTGCCGCTCCTTTTATCGATGCAGCTATTCAAGCCGTCAATGATGACGGACTGCTATGTGTCACCTGTACCGATTCGGCCATATTTGCGTCGCATGGATACCTGGAGAAGACTTACTCGCAATACGGTGGCCTACCCTTCAAGGGCGAGCCATGTCACGAGGGCGGACTGCGCTTGATCTTACATGCCATAGCATCCTCGGCCGGTCGCTATGGCATGGCCATTGAACCTTTACTGTCCCTCTCCATCGACTATTACATTCGAGTCTTTGTGCGAGTGCGAAAAGCACCCAACGACGTGAAGCTACTGGCTGGCAAGACAATGCTCGTATATCACTGTGAAAGTGGCTGCGGCGCATGGTCTACGCAGTTCCTTGCACGAAACAAGGTCACCAAGAACAAAAATGGCGACCCGATGTATAAACATGGCTTTGCCCAGGGGCCTTCCGCGGATCAGCATTGCGAGCATTGCGGGCACAAGACCCACCTCTCGGGACCAATGTATGGTGGCCCGCTGCATAACGTTGGTTTCATCGAAAGAGTACTAGCGCAGCTCAATGAGGCAGACCGACAGACGTACCCGACAATGGATCGCATACAGGGCATGCTGCACACCGCGTTGGAGGAAATCACGTTTGGAGCAAAGCTAGAAAAGTCGAATGGCGCACAAAAGACAGAGGTCCTGGATCCCCTTATTCCCAAGGCCGATCCTGCAGAGATAGATCACCACCCCTTCTTCTTCATACCCAGCGCAGTCGCCAAGGTAGTTCATTGTTCCGCTCCGCCGTTGGCAGCACTACGGGGAGCACTGCGACATGCAGGGTTCAGGGTGACGATGAGCCATTGCAAGCCGGGATCGATCAAGACAGATGCGTCGTGGAAAGACATTTGGCACGTTATGCTTGAATGGGTGCGGCAACGAGCACCGCTCAAAAACCCAATCAAGAAGGGAAGCCCGGGACATGCCATAATGGAAAAGGCCAGTGGAACCTGCTATACCAGAAGCACTGCTCAAGAGCCAGCGCCTGCTCAAGCGGTGTCTGCCGACCCAGCGCCAACAGCGCAAGAGGATGCCGAAATGGCCGATGGTGGCTCAGAGACCAACGGGACGAAGCAGCTGCCAGCTTACCTCGAGACCAAGTTCGAGGTCAACTTTGACGAAAAGCTGGGCAGGGATCATGACCGGGGAAAGTACGTCCGCTACCAGCTTGCTCCACGCGAAAACTGGGGCCCAATGGCACGCGCAAAATGATTCAGGTATAACGAATGAAAAAATGGAAAGTAACGCATCCCTGCTTGCACATGTTGTCGTTGCGATGTCGCCTTGCATTTGCATTGTTTTGCAGACTCGTCTCCAATAATCATCATCTCCGCATCCGCCAAACATGGGCAGACGTTGCGCAAGTCAAACGTCATCGCACTTGTGCTGAGCCAGGACGACAGCAACCACCAATCGCCCCACCAGGTAGTTTCAATTAATCTCGTTCGCACCATTTTCGTGCGTCTGTTGTTGTTTTTTTCTCATATCCCGGGCGATCGTTTTTCAATTCTTACGCTGCCTCCAGCATCTTGGGCCGGGGCGACACTGGCATGCCTGCATGCCCGCATCTAGCAGCCAAGCGGAGATTTGTCTGCATCTGTGCCTTGCATATTGGCTGTTAGGCGACCGGCTGATGACGACCATGTGGATAAACGTTTTGACGAGATGCTCGAGGAAGGAGTATACGCGAGGGCAAGACTCCGCGGAGTAGGCTGGCTAAAATGTGCCTGATTTCTCAGCACAAGTTGTAGACCCGATGTAGGCTTAAGCGTTGTGCTACTCCCGAACAAGGTCGGAACGGTTGACTTATTTGCAGAGCGGGAACACTAGCGGCTCAAAACTTCGACCGCTCCACCATGTCATCACGTCGTCACGTTCTTAGCACGCGGCAAATACTGCGATCCACCTGCGATCTGCCCCCCTGCGCGCACGCGTTCACGCTGTATCGACAAGTTTTTTACAGGCCCGAAAAGCATAGAGCGTACGATCTTCGCCAATAGCGCACTTGATTTGCCCGCCTCACATGCCCGATGGCATTTCCAAGAAACCCATGTCGTAGCTAACTTCTCTGTGAATGCGGCCTTCACTGCCGCATCCGCTCAGTCATGAAATCATGTCGTACTAGCCTTCTTTAGACGACATACCTGGTTGTCGTTGACACACTGCTTGCAAATTGCGTACAAGTGATGCGGTCACCGGCGCACAGCATCTGTACTAGATGTATATATTGAACTGTAGATGCGCCCTACGTTCAGACCTCACAACATTACGAACCGACAACTCTTTTCAACATGTTGACCAAGAGCCTCTTTGCCACCTCTGTGCTTGCGGCTTTCGCTGCAGCCGCTCCCAGGCCAGACGTGCCAGGCTACACTGATGCGGATGCCAGCTTCTCCGTCACCTTTGACCCAGCTGAGACTCCCGCCACGAGTTTTGGTCCTGATGTCCAGGTTCCTGTGAGTACAATACCCAAAACTAGTCTTGAGTTTATCTGATCATTGATTAGGCCATTCCTACCACTGCTGGCTCGGCCCCTCCCCGAAGGAGCTCCGACGTAACCGGTGCTACCAGTCACGGTCCTTACTCTGGTACCCCAACTACTACCGGAGCTGAGAAGGCACCTACCACCCTTGGCACTGTCATTCCTCCTCTGCCACCAAACCCAACGGCTACTTACTACAACACCAATGGCAAGCCTCAGGACCCCATGCCCATTCCTTACATGCCGGCTGGTGGTCTCGGCACCAATGGCACCCTGCCTCGCTACATGGTGAACAGTGACTTTGACTACGAGTCTATTGCTCTTGGTCTATACCAGGAATGGATTGAGCTTGATCTGTTTAACAACGGTCTTGCTGTCTTCTCTGAGCAAGACTTCCTTGACGCTGGCCTCACTGCTGAGGACCGTGCCTACATTGCCTTTATGGCTATCCAGGAAACTGGCCATGCCACTCTCCTGTCCAACATGCTTGGCGAGACTGCTCCTCCTCAGTGCACATACGACTACCCATTCCGCACTGTCCGCGAGTTTATCGACTTCAACATGAAGGTGACCCGCTGGGGTGAATCTGGCGTCTGGGGATTCATTGCCCACTTGGACTCTCGCGAGGTCGCCAACATGCTTTCCCTGTCAATTGCTACCGAGGCTCGCCAGCAAATCTCTTTCCGTCAGATGATGGGCCTCCCACCTATGCCTGTATGGTTTGAGACTGGTATTCCTCAGTCGTGGCAATGGACCTACCTTGCCCCCTACATCAGCTCTTGCCCTCAGAACACCACTCGTCTGGCATGGCAGAACTTCCCGGCTCTGTTCATCGACAACCAGCCCAACCCCAACCGCTTCTCGCCCAACGACACCCAGCCAAACGAGGTTGCTGGCCGCCGCCCTTCTGACCCCTCCGACTCTACTATCCCCGCCGATGAGAGCTGTGTAAACGTCAACGCTACTGAGCACCCTGGCTACTCTTGCTCCCCTGGTATCGCACGCAACCGCAGTGAGCCCCTCTCCTTCCCCGGCAGGCTCGTCAACCTGACCTGGGAGAACCCCGGTAAGCCTGTTGGCCCCAACATGTCATACATCACCGATACCGTTGCTGGCGCCCCCGCTTTCGTCGCCTGGGTCTCGCAGCTCAACCTTACCTACACTCCTCTGGAGATTACCGGCAACAACACTGGATACACCTACCAGCCTGCCGGCGAAGTCTACGAGGGAGACCCTGCCGCCAACGACACCATGTTTGTTGCTCTCACCGACTCTGACCCGTACCTTACTCCCTTCAACCTTAGCATGATCAACCCTCATGTTGTTGCCCTTGGTCTTTACCAGGCTGGTTAAAGTGGGAACGTATTGGAAATGTAATGCATCAAAGGCTTATTAGCCGGTTTTAATCTGACAATTGTATGATTATTAGATGGGAAGTGGAAAGAAGTAGTTTATGAAGTTGTAATGATACCAATCTACGAACCAAGCATTCTATCATTGAAATATCCAAAGTCGTTTTTTTTTCGTGATGTTCGTACTTGACTTTATCTTTTGCCATTAACCTTTTCTGATACTTGCTCTGACAAGCAAAAAGACTATGGAGGCGAATCGATAAATCACACCACACCCCCCACCCTCTCCATCTCCCCCCTCAACCTCACCATCTCCTCCACAACAACCTGATGATCATCCCACTGCTTCAACCCACTCACCACCACCACCGCAACCATGCCATCGCACCCTTTAATAAAAACCGGTACTCCACCCCCGTGAATCGCATATTGGCCTGCCGTCTCCCCCAGGCCTAGTTTTGCTTTAAATGCTTCTTCGTCGCCACCGTACTGGTTCTGCAGACGCCAGGTGCTCGCGGCAAACCGGATCACGGCGGCGCGCTTGCGGGAGATCCAGATGTCGTTGTCGGAGGAGGTGCCGGGGTGGGTTACCTGGGGGGTGGGGGGTTAGTATCAACATTCTCTTTCTCTTTCTTTCTCTTTTGAATCCTGCTGTTTATATTCTTCTTTTTTGAGTTTTTTTTTCTAATCGACTTCTTTCTATAAGATTCTTTCTACATGTGTTTTCCCGCCCCTCGCAAAAAAAACGAAAATGGGGGGAAGGGGATATAGAAGGGAAAACAACGTACAGCGTGAAATAATACATGCGGTGGTGTACTAATCGTTGAGATGTGCACGACGGCTGGTCTCTCTTCCGTGAGTAGTCTCGTGCGCAGATTGACGCCGAGTTTAAATGCTACGTCTCCGTTCCAGAAGGGGAGCGTGCAGTCTTTTTCTTGCGCTTTGATGGCGTCGATGTCGCGGGGTGCGGTGGCGATGGGGGTGTGGTTGGGGACGGTGACATCGGGGGTTTCCATGTTTTCTTTGGTATATCTTTGAACGTAGTTGGGATTGAGTGACGGGTTGTTTTTTTTAGGGAAAGAGAAAGGTGGATTGGGGCAGAGATAAAGAAGGATTAACGGAGGTTTTGAGAGGGAATTGATATAGGAATTGATGGGAAAGAGGGATGCAAGATATAAAAAATGGAAATGGAGGTTGTTAGTAGAACTAAATAGGCAATTGTAACAGTTGCCGATGCCGCCCGTCTGGGCGCTTTTTTTTACAGCTATTATGGATAATTGTGGTTCCCTTGCGGGGAAAGAAAGGTGCGCTATTGTTGGCGCTAGGTGTTTCCCCCGCCGCGATCATTGATCTCTTCTTCTTACCTATAGATGTACTTGAATATTTGTGGATGCGCCTCTAGCTGAGGAGACGATTACTTGGGATCGTGATTTGATTTGCTCAGGGGCATCGTAATCATTACACACACTAAATCTATATAATGAAACAACAGACTTTTGCGCGGTCCTAAACCGGGCGCCATCTTCTCCATGACTGTTTTTTGACCGGATCAAGCAGCTCGTAGGGTATACGCTAAAGGACTTCAACTCGAAAAGGAGAAAACACACATAGAAACTTTTGAGACCTCAACCCTCCTCAGTGTCCATCTGGTCACGTCCTCTTCTCGCACCTCCACCACGACCCCGTCCGCCGCCTCTACCTCCACGGCCACCCTTGCCCCTCTGCTCATGGAGATCCTTCATCTCCCTAACCGCTATCCTCTGCGCCTCGTTGACTCGCTCCATATACACCATCGCTTCATCCTTGTTAATGACTTCTTCTGGAATCTGCTTACCAAGAGCATTCTCAATGCGCAACCAGATCTCGAGATCGTACTGTGTGACAAAAGAGACCGCCTTACCCGACTTTCCAGCTCGCGCTGTTCGGCCAACACGGTGAACATACGTCTGGGAATCGCTGGGTAGATCGAAGTTAACGACAAGATCGACAGCAGGGATATCCAAACCACGGGATGCTACGTCGGTGGCTACGAGGATGTCGCGGCTTTGAGTCTTGAACTTGTTGAGTGCGCCTAGACGAGCGGATTGCGAAAGCTGGCCGTGAAGAGGAATAGCGCCGAAACCGAGGGTGCGGAGGAGAATGGCTATGCGCTGTGTCTCGTTGACTGTGCGGCTGAAGATGATGGTTGGGTGGCCAATGTTGTCGTTTAGGAGATGAATGAGGTACAGGTCCTTGTACTTGTGGGGAAGGAAGATGTATCGTTGAAGGAGTGTTGAAACGACTTGATGGGACGAGCTGCTGATGCTCACTCGGACGGGATTCTGCAAGGCAGCTCTTTGCAAACTCTCGACTTTGCTGCTCATGGTCGCCGAGAACAGATATGTGTGTCGTCCTTCTCTAGGTAGTACCTTCAAGATCTTGTCGAGGACCGGTCCGAAATCAAGGTCGAGCAACCGATCGGCTTCGTCGAGAACCATGTACTTGAGGTGCTTTAGGGAGAAGCCTTTGGTATTCTCCAGATGGTCAAGCAGACGTCCTGTATACTGTCAGCTTCTACTGTTTGATGTTGGACAGACTAGACTCACCAGGTGTAGCAACGATAATGTGTGGCTTCTTGGACAGAGCGATTGCCTGAGGTACCATGTCCATTCCTCCCACCAACGTCGCACACTTGACATTGATGATGCTGCCGAGAGCGTCAACCTGCTGTGCAATCTGATATGCCAATTCTCGTGTCGGTGCCAGTATCAGCCCAAAGAGCGATTGCTGTTTCTCCAGCAGCGCTTGAAGAATTGGCAGGACGAACGCAGCCGTCTTTCCAGATCCAGTTTCAGCAAGTCCAATGACATCGCGACCCTCGATAGCCAGAGGTATAGCTTGAGCCTGAATGGGCGTCGGGTTTGTGAACTTGAGGTTTTCGCAAGCGTCGCAAAGTTCTTCGCGCACGCCCAGGTCGGCGAATGTCTTCTTTGCCTCGTCTGCGCCAGCCGTAGCAGCCTCCGCCTCTTGCTCAGACCCAGATGCATTCGCTACATTCTGGTCTTCAGAATTGTCCGAACCATCCTCGTCTCCCTCCTCTTCGTCGTCATCGCTCGACTCGGGTTCTGGCGGTGGTGTGGGCTTCGCCACAACTTTTTTCGCTGGTGCGCTCGCCGGTCGCGCTTTTTTTGACGACGACGTAGCCGCAACGCGCACGTCTTCGGTTCGTTTTCTCTTCGCAAATCCAGGCATTTTGATATGGATAAACAGTTCAGGAAAGATGTGCGAAAGTTGAAGTCGATACCAGCCTATGGCACGCATGGACCACCGAAATCTTGGCGAAGCGGACCAGACCCACAGAAAAGTTTCCAGTTCGCGACCGGTCGCGACAGAGCAGCCGATTTCACGACATCGACGGCTGCTTTCAGTCGAACACCCCAAGTCCCGCTTTCGCCTATTACTGCGCCATTCCCTGGTTCATTTTCCAAGAATTTTGATACAGACATCAGGGTTGAGTTTCGGAAAAGCCGACTTTGAAGCTGTAGACCCGCCCGAAGACGTACGATTGAGCTGTCGCAATGGCTCGTGGAAGAGGAACTGCGAGGAAGAAGCAGTCGGCAAAGGACAAGGAGTTGGCAAAGAAGCCCGTTGCAGGTCCCAAGTCTATGGTGATCCGGATTGGTGCACAAGAGTGAGTTGGGTTTTGCCAAAAGTCTTTAATCAAGCCGCTCACACAGCTTAGAGTCGGAAAATCTATCTCAGACCTCGTCAACGATGTCAGGCATTGTTTGGAACCCGATACCGCTATTAGGCTCAAGGAGCGACGTGCGAACAAGCTCAAGGTATGCTTCATCCAAAGGCCCACGGTCTTTGTCCTGATCTCTAACAACTTGTAGGATTACCTCGTCATGTGCGGTCCGCTAGGTGTTAGCCATCTGCTCCTCTTCTCTAGGTCAGAAAGCGGCAACACAAACCTTCGACTCGCCCGTACTCCCCGAGGTCCTACGCTCCACTTCCGTGTTGAAAACTATTCTCTCTGCAAAGATATTATCAAAGCCATGAAGCGCCCGCGATCTGGTGCAAGCGACTACTTGGTTGCACCATTGCTCGTCATGAACAACTTCTTGACAAGCGACAGCGACAGAGAGAAGCTGGGGGGAAAAGCGCCGCCAAAGCACCTTGAGAAGCTCGTAACGGACATGTTCCAAGGCCTCTTCCCACCGATCCAACCGCACACCACCCCTCTTCACTCAATCAAGCGAGTTCTCCTCCTCAACCGCGAGCCTCCTTCTGAGGACACCGGGTCCGTCAACATCAGCCTGAGACACTATGCAATCACAACAAAGCAAGTGGGAATACCAAAAGCCATTCGACGACTCTACGCAGCTGAGAAGCTTGTAGGGAGCAGGGAAAGAAAGAAGAGCGCACTTCCTAACCTAGGCAAGCTCGAGGACGTCGCAGACTACATGCTCGACCCCTCAGCAGCAGGCTACACATCCGCCTCGGACACGGAACTAGACACAGACGCCGAAGTCGAAGTCACAGCTCCAGTCCGCCAAAAAGTGCTTTCGCGCCGTGAAAAAGAAAAGCTCAAAGCTGGCGACGAGACCTCGCACGCCCGCGCCCGCGGCTCCAAGCCCCGCGTGGAAAAACGTGCAGTCAAGCTGATTGAGCTGGGCCCCCGTATGAAGCTGCGCCTCACTAAAGTCGAAGAAGACGTGTGTGGCGGAAAGGTTCTCTGGCACGAATTCATTACCAAGAGTAAGGCTGAGGAACAGGAGCTGGAGAAGAGGTGGCAGCAAAAGAATAAAGAAAAGGAGGAGAGACGGCGTATTCAGCGGGAGAATATCGAGAGGAAGAGGAAGGAGAAGGCGGATAAGGGAGAGACTGCTGAGGGAGAAGGCGAGGAAGGAGAGGAGGATGAGGAGATGGAGGATTTTGAGGACTACGACATGGACGATGATGTGTGGCAGGATGCTGCGGATGCAGGAGAGGAGGGCGAAGACGATGAAGATGAGGAGATGGAAGAATGATTGATGTAAAAAATGATCTGTAATGATACCCCGTTGGACGCTTGCATCACGCAATTGTATACATCTCAATACATGCGTTTCAACTCCATCGTAATTCACTCCCTCACGCCCCCTTTGGCTTCTTAATAATCACCTTCTCCCCATCCGCACTCAATTCCCACCCTACGCCCTCCTGCACCAGCTCCTCCCACCGCCTCTCCGTCGTCCTCTCCACAAACGGGCGATCCGCACTCAAATACGCCTTGCCCAAACACTTGAGCGCATGCACCCTCATATTTCCATCCGCCCACTCCATGACGCTCCTCTGATACCCATCCACCGCCCTGCGCACACGCCAAAACCCCACATAATCATCCGCAACCAGAGCTCTCAGCACGGCTTCAACCCGCCAGTCCTTATACCCGTACTGCAGCTTCGTCTGGCGGGCGCCCGAGAAATCCGATTGGCGACACGCTTGATCGAGGATTAGGAGGCCGACGAATTCGTGGAGGGTAGATGGTGGGAGCGGGTTCCGTGGGTGGATTATGTTGAGGAGGGAGAGGAGGGAGGGAAGGTAGGAGGCCCAGTCGTGGCAGAGGATGCTGACGTGGATGGCGAAGGTGTAGGCGCGGAGGGCGAAGGAATCGGAACGGCTTGATGCTGTGATTGCTTCGCGGAGTTTACGCAGGGAGGAGAGGACTGTTTCTAGTTCTTGGATTGAAGGTGCGAACGCTTTTTGTGGAATGGGGTGGGCGGAGGGGGCAGTAGTGGTAGTGGTGGGTGGTGGTTTAGTGTTCTGGTATTCTGGAGGCGCGTGTTTAGAGAGGGACAAGGAGGAGAAGGAACTGGTGAGTTTGAAGCTTGCTTCGCTGTTTTGTGTGTCGGTTGCGGAGGCAAAGAGGTTGTCTAGTTCTTCACGGTTGAGGGCGCAGAGTTTCATGTAGCGTTCGATGATGCGGTTGAAGTAGGTTTCTTGCGTCTTGAAATCGTTGAGTCTGCACAATCAGCGGGTGTGCTGATTCAGGCGAGGCAGAGAGATGCGGTACCGTGTCTCGCCTTTGCTGGGTAGCCCGTAGCTCTCGAGCATGTCTTCTCGGACGGGCTTGAGGCGGCTCCATGCGCCTGATGCAGCGCGGCGGCTGCTTGGACGGGCGGGGTCGGTGGACTTCATGGAGGCGGTTGATATGATTGTGCGAGAAACGAGATGTTCAAGTTAACCCGAGAGATGTTTTCAGCATCGGGCTGTGTCGTTGCTGAGAGGTACTGCGAGCCATGGTGGGCTTGGATAAAGACAGTCGCGTAGGAGACACCATCGAGGCAAGGTGGGATGGAGGGGCAAGCGCGCCCGAGCTCACTTGAACCGCGTCGCTAACCCGCTGAGACGGCGTGATAGCAGACATGCCATATCATCGATTTTCCGGAATGCTATGTAGCCTTTGGTGATTGTCAAAAGGCGACATGTGATGCTCGCAAGATTCACTGGATGTGGCATAGCTTGCCAGAGGTCCCTGGAAGTGCGTACCAGTTGGCTCGAGTCCTTGCATGTCGCCTCACACCATTTAACCCTCGACCTCTGGATAACTATCTTCAATCCCAAGTGAACACGTAATCTCTGTCTTAATTCGTTCTTACTTTCATTATGGATGCTGTCAAGGAAGCAGCTTCAAAAGCCGCAGATGCCGGCAAAAAGATAGAGCAAAAGGTGGAGGAAAAGCTAATATTAGTATGGGACGAGCTTTCTCCCTGGCAGCAAGACAATCATTACATTCAAACTGGTTACCGAGCGCCGTCAAACTCCTACTCCAAGTCGTGGAAGAGTCTGGGATATCTACACAACGAAACAGTCAACATCTACACACATCTCATAGGGGCTCTCCTCGCAGCTGTGGCTGGCATCGCTCTGTACTTCACATTGGGACCACGCTACGCGACTGCGACCACCGAGGATGTGTGGGCGTTTGGGTGCTTCTTTGCCGGAGCAGTGGCATGTCTGGGTATGAGCGGGACGTATCACACCATTCAAAATCACTCGCACGAGGTAGCCATATGGGGCAACAAGCTCGACTATCTAGGCATTGTCTTCTTGATCTGGGGCAGCTTTGTCCCAGTGCTGTACTATGCCTTCCGAGATGAACCCGAGCTGAGGAAGACATACTGGGCCATGATCACAACGTTGGCAGCGGGAACTTCCATCGTATCCACACATCACAAATTTCGCACGCCAGCGCTTCGCCCCTTTCGAGCCCTAATGTTCGTGCTCATGGGCCTCTCTGCCGTGTTCCCTGTTCTGCATGGGATACAATTGTACGGAGTCGAACACCTGCGAAGAAGTATTGGATTGGACTGGATTTTGCTGCAGGGCGTCTTGTACATCAGCGGTGCTGTCATCTATGCCGCCAGAGTGCCCGAGAAGTGGAGTCCGGGAAAATATGATATTTGGGGCTCCAGCCACCAGATATTCCACGTGTTGGTTGTTCTAGCTGCCGCAAGTCATCTCAACGGCCTCGTCCAAGCTTTTGACTATGAGCACGGCCAGAGAAGGAGCGAAATAACGGCAGCGCTGGGGAGCAAGGGGCTGTAGGTTCGGTGATATACAGGGCGACGTGATTGGGTACGCGACAATGAGGTTCCCATTGAACTATCCTCCGGGTATTGAGGGAATGAGCACCTCGGTAGCTATAGCATGTCCCTTTCTTGTATGATAGATACATCTGTTTTGCAGACATGGATAATGGCCTTCTTCCATGGCCTTCTGGAATATGCGCTTCTGTACAAATCCAGTAAAACTCTGAGACGGACCGGGGTGTTTTGCGCGATGCGAACGCCGCACAGACTGGCCGATGACGCCGTGCCAGCCACCTTCCCCATGAAATGCTACACGCGTGGGCCCGGTCTGACCAATCACAATCCTCCGCCAGAGCTACCGATCTTGCAGCTCTCCTCCCAGCACTTCATTCTCCGACGCCCATTCCTCTGTTTACTCTTTCATCTACACGTCGCGTCTCTGACCACTGTTTGTACATCATCGCTACACACCAGATCATTCTTGAAAGCACTCTGCGCGCCAACCTCCTCACTACCTTGCTTCTGCGACGCCAAAGGCTCTTTCGCGAAGCATAACGTCATCCCATATCACCTGCGATTGCAAACCCACGTTACACACAATGACTGACACTGAAATTCAACAAGGAGACAAAGGTACGCGCCTCTCATTATTTCCATGTTCCCATATCATCGAGCCCGGCGCGACTACGTATAGTCAGATTCCGTTCGGCGCATTGCGCTCACTCACGCGCACTCTTCGCGCATCCCGGCGCGTTAATGCGGCCTCGGTCGCCTCGGTCATGTCTTCACTGAGAATGTACAACATCATCGCTAACGCGTCTTTCTTCAGTCTCATGGAACTGGGGTTCAGGACAGCCCAGCGGCACCGTTGCCGAGGTCAAGGAGCAGGGCGAGCTTGCCATTGAATCCAACAAGGGCAATACGATTAAGAAGAATGCCGACCCTGAAAACCCTGCGGTTCACGTTGAGAGGTCAGGCAACGATGTCGTGAAGCGTGCCTCCGAGCTTCAGATCAATGAAAAGGCCGAGGGCGCTAACAGCGACTCCAAGCAGGAGGACAAGAAGGACGACGCCGAGAAGTCGGAAGAGAAGCCGGCTGAATCAGACAAGAAGGAAGATGACAAGCCGGCTGAATCCGAAAAGAAGGATGAGGAGATGAAAGACGCACCTGACAGTGAGGAGAAGAAGGAAGAGCCTCACACTAACGGCGAATCCAAGAAGGAAGAGTCCAATGAGACAAAAGAAGACGCCAAGGACGATGCATCAAAGGAGGAATCCGATGAAAAGTCTGACGAAAAGTCCGAGGCCGACAAGGAGGATGACCCAAAGACCGGCGACAAGCGCAAGGTCGAGGAGACTTCTGAGAAAACCAACGGCGCTGATGCTGATGCCGATGTTGAAGCTGAGAAGCCTGCTGAAAAGAAGGCAAAGACTGACGAAGCCGATGGTGAAGGCGAGGCCAAGGAGGAAACCGAGACCAAGACACCCGCTAAGAAGCCTGGCCGCCCCAAGAAGGAGAAGAAGGAACCTGCAAAGAAGAAAGAGCCCAAGAAGGCTGCAACTGCTGACGGTACGCCACGCCGAAGCGGCAGGAACAAGGCTTAAACAACAAAACCCTTGCTACGGCCCATACTTCAGTATCCACCAGTGCACTCTCGCCTCGCAGTCTGAAATGATATTCCAAGCACAAGTTTCTTGGTATGCGCGTTGATTTTGGATATTGTTGGATGTGGCGTTCCATTGCGGTCAATTGGTGAGCGAAAACAGACTATATCGACAATCGAGAAAAACTAAATGAAGTAACGGCAATGGGAGGAAACGGATATGGCAATGGATGGTGGCGCTCTGGGATCCGGTCTTTTTTTGTCTGCTATCCTAGTGGCGCTTTTTGTGTCCTCTTGTTGTATAATAAAACTCTTGTCTACGGCTTTTTATGGGAGGATTGGACAAGGGAAAGCATTTCAAAGCTAAAAAGGTACATCGAATGCATGCTATGAAATATTATTGTCTGACTTGTGTTTCTGTGATTTCTTACATAATAACCACGCGCATCGATAGAAGCTGAGGTTTCTGGGGTGTCGCTTCGCATGTTTAATTAGACACGACTTTAAGTAGACTAAAAGCAAAGCTTCCCCACCCCGTCGTGGACTGGGAGATTTTGGATGTGCATCATTTGAGAGCAGCTTGCGCACTAAGAACAAAGAGGGACTATATACAGCTTAGTATATTTGTTGAAATTACTTTATATCGAAAAGTCTCTATTCGATGACGGCACAGGTGCCCTGAAATAGAGAGTCCTTTTCAGCCTGATCTATGTTACTCTATCGAACATAACTTCCCATGCTATACCTTCACTTTCAATATCCACCTCCTTCCCAAGCAGGCCCACCTGCTGAACAAGAAGCTAATCAAACTCAACCCGAGAACTGCACAAAAGAAGGCCACCATGGGCTGAGGTCCAACCGTCTCCACGAGCTCACCGCCAATTGGAATACAGACAAGGGTTGCCAAAGAAGCGATGAAGTACATACTCCCATAGTAGCGGCCAAACTCTTCTGCTCTGCACAACTGCCCAACGCATGCAGGTGTCAGAGCCATCCAGGAGCCCGTGCCGAATCCAAAGAGGGCCGTATAAGCGTACAGTGCCGGCAGTGATGTAGTTCCAAGAGGCAACCAAAGAACCAACATCCACAACAGCGTGAAGACTATCATGATGAAGAGTGTATTGAACCTCCCAATCTTATCCGCAACGTACCCCGGGAGCAAGCGTCCAAGACAAGAAACCCCATTGAGTACCGCAATGAGATAGAATCCAGTATCAGGCGGGAAGTCTGTACTCCTTGTCGCATACGTCGGCAAAATGCCTAACCCCCCAAACAACACCACCTCAAATCCAAACACACTCAGCGTAAACAAGCTCAGTCGCAAGTCCCCATAAATCGAGGGCGAAATAATCGCCTTCTTCTTCGCCGCCGCCGACGGCGGAATCCTCGCCTTCATCAACCCATTCGCCACTACAAAACACCCCAAAAACACAAACCCGAGTATCCTAAGCGACCACGCATACCCGTACTTTGGCAGCGTCGTCCTCAGAACCAGCGGAATCGCCAATCCACCCCCGGAACTCCCCATCATCGCCACACCCTGCGCCAACCCCCTCTTCTCCTTAAACCAATGCGCCACAACTGCTAAACTCGTCGTTGTAAGCGCTGCACAAGAAAACCCGCCTAGTACACCACAGCAAAGCAGCATCTGCCAAAACGTCTTGCACTCTGCCAGCAAAAACACCATGACTAGAAAAGCGGCACTGCCGCCCAGCGCGATCCACCGCGGACCGTACCGGTCGAATAGCGGACCCACCCAGATACCGAGGGCGAGGGAGAGATAGACGAATAAGGAGGGGATCCAGCCGATGTCGCGCGAGGACATGGAGGAGAGTTGGTGTTGCGACCAGTGGTCTTGCAAAGTGCCGATGGAGACTTGCAGCCCGAAGGAGGGGAAGAGCATGAGGAAGGCGGAGAGGACGACGAGCCAGGCGCGGGGACCGCCTTCGGGGAAAGGGGATTCGGAGGTTGGGGTTGGAGAGGTGAGGGGGAGGCCGGGTTCGGGGTCTGTTGGGTGAGAGGGAAGTTCTACATCGTAGCTTGGAGACTGTTTCTCGGTGTCTTGGTGTTGGGGGTGGGATTTCATTTTCTGGTCGGTGTCGTGGAGTGGAGTATGGATTTCTTCAGAGGCTTTGTTGGCGCTGGGTGTTGGGAGGGTGTTTGTTGGGCTTGTTGGACTTGCGATTGGATCCATTGTGACTCTTCAGGACGACCCGATACTTTTCCTGCTTTTATTCTTTCCCGATAGCTCAAAATCGTAAACAGATAAGAAGATGGAAGAAAAGGTACGAATTGCGTCAAGTCTCTGCGACAGCGTGAACCAAAACCACACAAAATGAACTTTGTCGTGTAACTAAGTCTACATTGGTAGTTTATCACATGGGAAGTCCACTAACATGGAATTTTACATGTCACCGACTACTATTCTGCAGACCCTTTGCCAATCTTACAATGGCGGAGCGCGGCAAAGCCGCACATCTTATACCGTATCCAGCACGTTGTGGGTGTCTTGGCAGTTTGCGACAACGGGGGCCTCGTTGACGACGGGATTGCGGCAAACGGGTAATCTAGGCGTGGCGGGCGGTTACACAGCGTGCATCATGTGCGCCCTATCGCTTGGAAGGAATGACTAGTGGGACGCCCAGGTTTTCTTTGCAGTTGGTGATGACGAGGGTGCCCCGCGGAATGTGGTTGGCTGGGTTAATGCAGGTCGGAGTGGATTTGTTACTCCGATGTTTCTTTGAGCATGATGAGAGCTGGAGTTCCGACATCGCATTTGAATGATTTGAGATTGTGTGATACTTTATGAGATTTGAGACATGAGATACTCATGTGGTTGAACTGCGTAGAGAGATTAAGACTGCGGTTTAGGTTGTATCTTACCTGGCGGAACAAACTGTGTGATGGCTAGGAAGTATGGAAGACTAGAGTGTAGGTAGGTGGGACGTTGCTACTAGGTGTACCAGTCCTAATTATTTCTATGTTTACGTATACTCGGTGCTACTCCGCGAGGTTATTTTCGACTTGTATCTAAGCTTCGAGCCGGTTATCGTGAACATCGACCTACCTTCTTCATTGTCAGTATTGGGCTTCATACCAGTTCCGATTGCTATATTGACGGGAAATATATGACGTCATTGAATACCTCGCTACTTAGAGATGTTCTTTCAACTCCACATAGACATCAACTAAGGTTTGCTACGAACCCAATGCTATCAACAAACTTTACAATTCAGAAGACAAACACATGCCAAGGAACTCGCCATACTTGCAAATACAAGACAGTATCAACGTGTGGGCTTGGCATGCGTCGTCTAATGTGGATATTTTGATTACTGTCAGTCATGCTGGCCTAACAAACGTGGATCTAGTAAAAGCAACTGAGAGTCCCAAGACTTTATTTCCTGTTTGGGTAACAATTCTCAAGCATCGATTGCAGTGACTTTTTCACCCAACGAGAGCTCAACGCCAGCACCCAACGACTCTGGACACACCGTCGCCACTTCTTGGGTTCGGTGTAGCCTCGGAACCGGGCAAACTACAAGTTATGCTACGGTGAGTTTCAGAAACAGAAGAAGAATTAATAGAGCTCTTAACGTTACACAGAGCATCGACATTCAAATACATATGCGTTTCATCTTACGCTTTCATGACTCTCAGAGCCCGAGGCAATACCTGTCAGCGATCCCTCTATTTATCCGTTGGGCAGAAAGGCCACCACTTAGCACCGCGCACTAGGCTCCGCACGTGCATCCGCCATGCAGCACCAAGCATTGCGGCGCTCCGGCAAGACATGGCTTGGGAGGCTTGTCTTTATTATTTCGAATCGTATAGCATGGCCGAACACCAGAAACGACCATGAGCATGCTTGTAATAGGACAAGATGATCCCATATGTATGATATAACAAAAGACAACGTGAAGCTGACCTCGAGCCACCACAAACAGCAGCAGACGACTGGTGGAAGAAAAGAAAACCGGGTCTACCCACACACTACTCTCCCCAATAGCCACGGGAAGTGGAGTGTGGGGTCGGGAGGACTCCCTCAGAAGATAGCGATGCAACCTCGGGGCGCAGGATTGCCGGTGGTGCCACCTTACTAGCTTTTGGTCTCTGCTATAGAAAGGCTTCGCTCGCCCTTCTCGAAACCAGGCAAGTCAGCAAACTCAACGAAAAGATGCCGTCTGATTTCTTCAAGAATCGCAGAGTCTATCTGTTGACTGGCGTTGCCTACATGGGCTCGCTGCTCTTCGGTATGCATCCAGTTCTTGTTCAACTCGACATCATAGCTGAGTTGCCATAGGATATGACACCGGGGTTATGGGCAGCGTTCTTGCGCTCAAATCTTTTAAAAGAGACTTTGGATTGCCGACAGAAAAGTCTGGCTTCGCCGACTCCAGGAACGCCGAAGTTTCTTCTAATGTAGTGTCGCTGTTAACAGCAGGATGCTTCTTTGGCGCCATAGGAGCAGCATGGCTTAACGAGCGTTTCGGTCGACGATATTCTCTCATGGGCTTGTCTGTCATCTTTCTGATAGGTGCTGCGCTCCAGACTGGCGCTCATCACGAGATTGGCCTGATCTACGGTGGCCGCGTCATTGCTGGCCTCGGCATCGGTGGCATGTCTTCTATCACACCAGTCTTTGTTTCCGAGAGCGCGCCCCCGGCTGTTCGTGGACGCATAGCAGGTCTCTTCCAGGAGTTTCTCGTCATTGGCAGCACGTTTGCTTACTGGCTTGGATATGGCGTGAACTTACACATGCTGAGCGAAACCAAGCAATGGAGAGTTCCTGTTGCTATCCAACTTATCCCTGGAGGCTTCATGCTGCTCGGACTTTTCTTTTTGAAGGAATCTCCTCGATGGTTGATGTCAAAAGGCCGACATGAAGAGGCTGTCAAGTCTCTTTGCTTCATTCGCTGCGATACGCCTGATAGCCCGGAGTTACAACAAGAGCTGGCAGAGATCCGCGCTGCTGTTGAAGAAGAGCTCAATCAGACCGAAGGAATTACCTGGAAAGAGTGCCTTCTCCCAGGGAATAGATATCGGTTCATCACTGGCTTCGTTCTCATGTTTTGGCAACAATTTAGCGGCACAAACTCGATTGGTAAGTCTTTCATGTCTCAGGGATTGGAAGAAAATTAACTCACATCATCTAGGTTACTATGCGCCACAAATCTTCCAAGCTATTGGCGTCTCTGCCTCCAATGCCTCCCTGTTCGCAACTGGTATCTACGGTACTGTCAAGGTCATCACTACGGGAATTTTCCTCCTTGTCGGTATCGACTTCCTCGGCCGCAAGAAATCTCTAATGGCTGGCGCGGTATGGATGTCATCCATGATGTTCATCATCGGAGCAGTACTCGCAACTCACCCACCCAACCCCACATCGTCGACTGTAAGCTCGGCATCCATGGCCATGGCAGCCATGATCTACCTATACGTCATCGGTTACTCAGCTTCCTGGGGCCCAGTCCCATGGGTCTACCTCTCCGAGATATTTCCCACGCGTCTCCGTTCGTATGGTGTCGGAATGGGCGCTGCAACCCAATGGCTCTTCAACTTTGTCATAACCAAAATCACTCCAGCTGCAGTCAACAGTATTGGATGGAGAACATTCCTCATGTTTGGAATCTTCTGTCTTGCTATGAGTGTATTTGCTACCTTTTTCATCAAGGAGACCAAGGGTAAGACTCTGGAAGAAATTGATCTTTTGTTTGGAGACGTGTCAGCCGAACAACGAAGGATGGACATCGAGGCGGGTTTGAAAGAGGAACAGCGGAAACACTCGGTCGCTTATGCGGAGAATGCCACTGAGCTTGGCAACCGGGCGGGTAAGGATTAAGGAGTAAATGCTTGGAATAGTCGATAGCATCGAGAAATCAACGTTCGGCCGTTTAGACACTGTCACTGAAGTATCCATCGCATCTTCAGTTGAATTCAGAGAAGACTCCTACGTATTTCTTCTTTGGACGAAGCAGCGCGATCGAAATAGCCTCAAGAACCCCTGCTATTATTTACAGTGTATGGTATGCCAAGATGTAGACCTGCCCCCTTCAGGTTAGCTTCTTATATAATCAGTACACTAGAATCTCCTGCATGTCAGATGAAGAGAGTTAAACAGGTTTCCCTCTCCAGTTAAAGAAACAGAAAGAACTAGTAGTGGGACCTCAGAGCAGTTGCAGCAATATGTAGCCAAAATTGCAACCCTCTTTATTATCTTTTTCTCGAGCTATCCAGGCTACTCCTTGTTTCATCCGGCGTCATTCATAATGACTCATTTTGAGTGAATAACAGTAGCTTAACTGCTTCCCAAGCCTCCAACTTGGACATATAGAGCTTACAGTCCTGTAGTTTATATACATCCAACATCAACCTTTTCATTCATTTTCGCAAATGTCACTGTACACAGCCCCAATATGCTACTAGAATTTGTTTTCAACATCCGCATATGGATTGTCTTGATTATTCCAATCATCGCATTTCTATTCCGTTCAAGACGTCGCTCAATCTTTCCCACCATCAACAATTTTCCCTTCGACCCTCTTTTCCAAAAAGCGCATCAAGAGTACCGCACCAACGCCGAATCATTGATCACCAACGGTCTCGCAAAACACCAAGGCCCAATCTCCCTCTCCGTCCCAAGTGGCAAGAAAATCGTTCTCCCGGCGTCATTGACCGCTTGGGCGAAATCAAACAAAAATCTCGACCATAGAGAGCTCGTCAGACAAGACTTCTATGCTGGGTTCCCTGGATTCGAAGCACAGGATGCGTTGCATGCGTCTGGAGACGTGCTTCTGGATGTAATTCGTACGAGGCTTGGACAGAACGAAAGTATCATGCCAGTGGTGACTAACAGTATAGCAAAGGCGTTGCAGATCCACTGGGGCGATGATAAGGACTGGCATGTCATTGACTGGCAGAAAGACACAACGGGTATCATCGCGCGCGCAGCGTCATCGATTTTTGTCGGTTCAGAGAAGTGTGAAGATGAAGAGTGGCTGGGTATCGCACAAGGCTACGTCGGCGCGTACTTTACGGCTGTCAACGAGCTGCATGAGTATCCTGCCTGGTCGAGACGCATTGTACAGAGGTTTCTCCCAAACGCCGTTGCTTGTCGGAAATACGTAGCGCAGGCTCGCGCTATTGCGAAGGAGTTGATTGCAAACCGGGAAAAGAAAGTCGAGGAGGCGAAGCGTAAAGGTGACCCTCTCCCGCAATACAACGATGCGCTCGCATGGGTACAAGCAGTACCAGGCCCCAAGGCAGACGCCGGCGACATACAGCTGTCACTGGCAATGGCTGCATTCTTCACCACAAGCGAACAGTTCCGCCAGGTCTTGATCGATGTTGCGTCGCACCCTGAGCTCATCGAGCCGCTAAGGAAAGAAGTCTGCGAACAGATTTCCACCCACGGTATAACCATCGCTGCAACAAACAACATGGTCCTTCTCGACAGCGTCCTGAAAGAATCCCAGAGACTTTCATCTCCCATAGGTACTTCTATCCCCTCTCCGCCCCCTCTGTTCTATCCATTCTAACAAACACTCCCCAGTGGCTCTCGAGCGCGTAGCCCTTAAAGACACGACCCTCCCCACCGGCGAAAACCTCCCACGCGGCTCCCACATCATGGTCGACTGCACCGGTCTCCGCAGCCCCGCCAAATACCCCAGCCCGGATCACTTCGACGGATACCGTTTCCTACGCCAACGCGAGGCAGGCGATAACTTCGCTCAGTTCGTTCAATCAGGCCCCGACTACAACGTGTTTGGCGGTGGACGTCATATCTGCCCCGGACGCTATTTCGCTAGTAATGAATTGAAACTCACCATGGCGCATATATTGCTCAAGTATGAGATTAGGATGGCGAAGGGGTATCAGTCCAGTATGGTACAAATGGGTGTACATAAAATGGCTGATCCGGTGGCTAAGTTTGAGGTGCGGAGGAGGGATGTGACGGAGATGGATTTGGTTCAGCTGACTGTATCGTTGGTGTGAGGGATGAAGACGAGGTTGGAGTTCTAGGTATTTGTTGTTGAATTTGTGTGTGTAGTTTTCGGGTGTAAATATTCTAGAGCTGACAGTAATCTGGTGCCGATATGAACTACTCCATTCCCGCAAAGAGTTTTGAACGGGCCATTGCTCCGACCTTTGATTTCCGGGGTTTATATGCCTTGTCGTCGACGACAAAATCGTCGTCGGAATCTTGTCCCTCGGAATCATGGTCGGGGTTTTGTGTGGCTCGTGGAACCGCCACCGTTTTGTTCTTCGCTCTGACGATATGGGAAGCACTGATTGTTGAAGAGGGCTTCTGATTCTTGCCAGCCTTCCCACAACTGGTTTTATTGGAGCTTGGGGTCCTTCTCATCTTCTTAGACATCTTTTTCTTCTCATTGGCCAGAGGAAGACGCTTTTGGCTTTTGAGCTGCTCTTTGTTGTTGTCACTACAAGATGTGGGTGGAGTGACAGATTTCGATGAGGGTCCAGAATCGGTATCACCACCGTCTTTTCGCCCCATGTGCTTCTGGGTCCGCGGAACCCATTTTTTCAGCCTTACAATATTTTTCTTGGGAGTAGTGGACTCAGGGGCGGCTTTGTGACTATTGAGGGCCTCTCCCCTGGCCTCCTTCAGTATAGAAAGGAAAGATGACATCGTGTTCTAGAATAAGGTTCGTGTAGTTGTGAACAAAGAAGCTAGGTCGACAGAAGTTGATGAGACAAATGGAGAGTATTTGTGTTCAGGGGCATAAGTACTTTTGAGGGCAGTGCCAAATGCAGCTCTGAATATAACAAAATTTCTGTAATTATGACGGACCAGTCGCATTTTTTGTCTTTCAACCATCAAATGCTACGACGCATATATGGATATTGCCGCGCTTTGATTGTTCCACCATTTCTGACCAACAAATATGAAGAAAGAAATATACTCGTGCGATTTTATTGAAGGGATGAAATGGGATGAACCGTGGAGCTGGTCGCAATGCCAAATGGTCAGGAACAAGAGATAGAAAAAGTTTGGTTCGACCGGTCTACAACCGTGGTAGGACAACAAGGCTGCTCTCGCTGTCCCCTGGTTAGCCCAAGTAGCTTTTCGTTAAAGCTGATGTGCTGCCACATATCGCATTTAGTAACAACACCGACTTTCTTTCTTAGATGTGATAGTTATGTGTAAAAGGTGCGATTCATGCCAACCTCCTCTTGCCAAAAGCAACCAGCGAATCGAAGCCCGTGCCTTACTTACTAGCTTTTCTTGTATCTTATTTCTCCTATAAGTGAATTTGAGCTCTGTTCTCTTAACACTAGGGGGCTTTATCCACAGCTGTCAGTTCAGACTCGCGTGTCGTTAGCATGAGTCCCCACTTTAAGATATGTATGGAAACAAAGAACTGGAATATTTGTCGACGAAGACGTACACCCCACTTGAGAGCTTTCAGCATGTGTGTGAGATGTTTTCGGGACTTTCAAGGAGAAACTACGAATGCAAACATTGGTCTTACTAGGTCATCTTAAGTTTTTTCTCAAATATCAGGGTCTCTTTATATGTACCAAGTATTCTCAAACCCAAAAAAGAAAAGATTTTTAACACATTCATCAGATGCACTGTCTATACAGCCAGATCTCGCGAACTCTTATACAAGCCATTTCAACTCATCCAACTTACATCACGTGAGATTGTATGGATAAGAGCCCAATGAGCTAGAGCACGCATGATTCCAGAAAATCATATTGATTATCCATGCTTTTTTATTATTCTACAAGTTCCGAAACACAGTTGGCTCGGTTTCGTATCTATGGGACAAGGGTAGTCTGGTCACATGATTTAAGAGAGTGGGGAAAGGTATGGATCGGCGAAACTAATCGCCGACAAACCCAGGTGTTTGTCCTGTTTGCATCTTTGATAGCCAGCTCTGGCCAGACGACAGCATCAAGACACGACCAGCATTCTTTTGAACGTACTGCAACGACTTAGATCGCTTTCAAAGACGTTCTCTAAGGCCCCCGCTCAGTAAACCATTCTCTCGAATATTCATAACCGCGTCCTTTTCCTCGAAACAGCCTCGGCGACGGCAAACCCCATACACATATACCAATAGCGGCGGATCAGACACAGGGAGAACACAATGGGTGGCTACTTATCAACGTTTACGAAGCTTATATGGGCGAAGAAGGAGATACGGATATTGATCCTTGGACTTGTGAGGGGTTTCAAGCCCGCTACAAGGCGTTCACAGGGCTGATTACAAATGCAGGATAACGCTGGCAAGACAACATTACTATACAGATTGAAGGTACGCATCGCCCAACAATGCAAGAGGGAGTGGAAGGCAATCCATGCGGAGCATGCTATACCACCATGAACCAGAGCATACACTAACGGGCGACAACAGATAGGAGAGGTAGTCACAACGATACCAACGATAGGTTTCAACGTGGAATCAGTAACATACAAGAACCTCAACTTCAATGTCTGGGTATGTCACTCCCAACATGTTTCTGTTTACATCACCTATGGTGACCTTCTAACAAAGGCTCTTAGGACTTGGGAGGTCAAACCTCGATCCGCCCCTATTGGCGCTGCTACTACGCCAACACAGCCGCCGTGATCTTCGTCATCGACAGTACCGATATCGAGCGTCTCACCACCGCCTCCGAAGAACTGCGTGCCATGCTCAACGAGGAGGAACTGCGCGACGCCGCGCTTCTCGTGTTCGCGAACAAACAGGATCAGCCTGGCGCAAAGGGTGCAGGCGAGATCAGCGAGGCGCTACGGCTGGGCGAGCTCAAGGATAGGAATTGGAGCATTGTCGCGTGTAGCGCTGTCGATGGAAGTGGTGTGCAGGAGGG